GTGCCTTACTAGTAGGAACAATGTTTGCTATTAGAAACAATAAGCTATTAGGAACAAGTGCATCGCTTCCGGTGAAACATCGCTGACACATGCCCTTCCTGTGGGCTGCGCCAATATCCATCTTGCGGGAGCGGTGTTGTACCTGCAGTGCACTCTCGCACCTTATCTCAATACCAAGCCCATATATTCCTGAATGCAAAACATCGGCGGAAATTCGCTTTGTTTTGGTCATGAAAAGCGGACGATTGCGTGTTGGTTCATTACGCGACCAAACTTGACTTCACGACTTCGGGTCCGCCACGAGCTCAGCAAAATGTCTCACATCCCAGGGTTTTTCAGCCTACCCCGATGCCTGAGATCGATTGGAAGGCTTCGGCTCCCGGATCCAAATATCCATGGTTTTAGATGGTTCTAGGGTGTCTAGGTTTGCCAACACAAACCGCATAGCTTTTTTAGCCTTGGCATTTTCAAGTTTAAGGATGTTGCCAGTGAGTCAGGGCTACACCCTTTCTCAGCAGCTTCCTTGCTTTTACTTTCCATTGATACGTTTGCATGTCCACACTCTGTGCTGAATCATGGCATGTTGCACAGGCCTTCGACTGCATCTTAGCAGGAGTCCGCCACACGTAATCACAAGTAGAGATGGCATCTCCCATGATTCACTGGGCCTCTGTCAACGCTATTGGTGTAGCTCCCATGTCTGATTGCGCCTCATCCTCTGGGTCTTGCACGTTCTGCTGCCAGCACGACAGTGGAGCCCAGTGTCAAAAAGTGTTTGCAATGCGGGCAGTCTCGGTACTGTTTTTGTTCGCCAACGATTCAAGTTGGGGCGCTTCACCAAGTAGTTTAGAGTCGTGGCAAGCTGTGAAAGGAATACAAATAGGTTGACACTGGTCTCAAAAAAATGTGGACCGTGCCATTGCGAACACATGTATTGGATACCGGGCTTTGATGCTATCGGAAGTTTGGCGCGGACGCCAACCCTTGAAGCCATGAGCGCACGTTGCCAACGTGGGTGAAGTCTGATCTGGATTAGGGGAAGCTGACCTAGATTGCACTAGCATGAGATCTGATACCAACTAATAAATTACTTGACGAAAAAACGTGGAAGTGAGATGGGCTGAGTTGAGAAGGTGGCGGAAGAATTCGAATCTTTGGGGAGGTCTGAGGGGAAATGGTCTGAAAAATGCCGAGGAATCGGATGTGCGGTGCCTTGGCGGTGTGTGCGATGCGGTCATACAAGCTCCGCAGCTGCCTCACATCCGCCCTCGCAAGGCCTGGCAGATCCGACGACTTTTCCATCCGTATTACCACTTTGACTTCGGCCTTGTGAAGCCAACGAACACACGCACAACCAACAAAAACACAGTCTGGATATCTTCAAAGGGTTGATATGAATCGCTGTTGCCATATGTTGCCTTCCGTGCAGCGCAAATGCTCTCGAAGCTTCTCGAAGCGTCGTAAGTCAACCTGAGTTGAGAAATTGCTTCAACTCACTTTGACAGCTTTTTGGAGAGTGTTTTAACGTTTTACGTTTTAACTTGTGTCCTTTTTTTCTGTCTTACATTGTTTTACATCGTTTTAAATGGTTTCCTCTTTTCGTCCTGTTTGGGTTTCATGTCTGCCAAAGGTGCCGTACCCTTGGAACCACAGCCAATCGTATCCATAGCTTCCATCACCGTGTGGGACTCGGCAGATCGGTGTTCTTTTGTTTCACACGGACGACACAACAAGGTTCCTACTAGCGATGCACTTGTTTCTAGTAGCTTCTTGTTACTGCTAGTAAGGCACCTGTTACTAGTAGCGATGCACTTGTTTCTAATAGCTTCTTGTTCCTAGTAGTATATTAGCTACTAATAGCGATGCCCTTGTTACTGATGAACATACAAATAGATACAATAAGCATTAATAAGCACAAGATACTGCACAAGCATTTATAAGATTCCATTTTCAACTCTACTCGCTCGAATACGATGGAAAGCTCCCTGTGAAAGCCCCATAGGGATGCCAAGGCGTCAGCTGGCACGTCATGACATCTTGCGCGCAACATGACACAAACATCCACTGGCCCCTGTTACAATCACATGTCATGTGGAGACATAAGACTGATTAACCATGGAGAATCATTGTGAGTACCATGAAGAAAGAAAACAACTGAAAACACGCATGGGAGCCTTGGCAACCTGCTTTATTTGCCAGCCCAAACATGCTTCTTCCCGAGTCACATCGATTACATAGCCCATCTTTCCCAAGAGTTCATTCAGTTCGTCCACATCCAGAACCCCATTCTTGTCGTTGTCTGCAGCATCAAACTCGGCGCGCAAATACTGCTCATCAGCCTCAGTGCATTGATTTCTCTTTAGCAACATACATGGATTGTGCTTCTGCAAAAGCTTAAATGGCTGTCGCAATCTTGCACACACCTTTTGATGCTATCCGTCTGGTTTAAAATGGCGACAAGCGGAACACTTCTCGGCGGAACACTTCTCGATATTTCTCCAAGAATGTCATCCACTCCTTGCAGTCCGATTGGGCGGTACGATCGGCTACGACTACGGTTCGACGATTGCTACTCAGCTAGAAGCTTCTAGGTTGGAGACACTAGCAAGCAGCTATGAGTAACAAGGGCATTACTGGTAGTAACAAAAAGCTACTAGGAACAAGTGCCTTACTAGTAGTAACAGGTGCCTTACTAGTAGTAACAATGTTTGCTATTAGAAACAAGTGCATCGCTAGTAGTAACAAGTGCCTTACTAGTAGTAACAATGTTTGCTATTAGAAACAAGTGCATCGCTAGTAGTAACAAGTGCCTTACTAGTAGTAACAATGTTTGCTATTGGGAAACAAGTGCATCGCTAGTAGTAACAAGTGCCTTACTAGTGGTAACAATGTTTGCTATTAGAAACAAGTGCATCGCTAGTAGAAACAAGTGCCTTACTAGTAGTAACAATGTTTGCTAATAGAAACAAGTGCCACGCTAGTAGTAACAAGTGCCTTACTAGTAGTAACAAGAAGCTAATAATTTAGATTTATGTTTAATCTAATTCTAATAGTTTTTTTTGTTATTACTAGTAAGGCACCTGTTACTACTAGCGTGGCACTTGTTGCTACTAGCTTTCTGACAGAAACGTCCTCCCAACTCACGGTGGCGAAGCTGAACATCTCGGCAACGAGTTTGTCCACCTCGCCCTTCCGCAGAATGCCTTGGCGCTGAAACGGCGAAGGTACCGCACTCGAAAAAAAAGTGTCGCCAAAAGGCATCCCATGTACCGCAGCATGAGCTCGAGTTCTTCAGTGGCGACTTCTCCATCCTGGAAAACCACAAACAAAGGAATCTTACTCTTTTCGAAAAAGAACACCTTCCCCTCGTTCCCCCGAGGCGCAAAACAACCGCTGTCAGAAGGCACAAGTCAGCTCGGAAGCTTTCTCGGTGTCTCGGAAGGTCTCTTATCATCGTCTCTTCTTTCTGTGACTTTTTTCCGCAACTTGATGAAAAGAACATGCGGCATGTTCCAGCCCAGCATCCGTGTCTGTGTCAAACTTGATGAAAACACTTCCTCAGAACTGGGTGCAATATAAGCATTCATGGAAACAACTTAAAGTTGAAACGCAACACAATGATCAAACATCCCCAGAAGCTTCAAATCTCGACCCCGGATTAGTAACCCCCCTCAAAAGGTTTACTATTTGGGGAGGGTCAGACCAGTGTCAGACCAGTGCAAATGGACTTTGATTGTTGGGGGTCAGTCAGGAGAGGTCACCAAAACTAAAATCTCATAAGGAGAGCCCCCAAGACTAAATCTCTTCATGAAGAGATTGGGAAGGAAGACTGCCCATAAGTACACATTGGTTGGCCAAATGGCAAAATGAGTGGGCATGCATGGATCCTGATTGGAGGTTGCATTTGCTGCACATATCCACCAATTGGGCCGATGAGTTTCACCGGGTGGGCAATGCCAAATGTATGAGCCAACTATGAGGCAGCAGCAGCAAAAGGATTGAGCAGTGAGTTGAGTTTGGGGTTATTGGAGTTTGGTTAGGTATTGGAGTTATGAGCCCGCATGTGGAAGGTCAACAAGGTCTGAGGTACCATAGGATGAGGGATTGGTCCAACGATACTGATTGGTCTCGAAAGTGGAGGGTGCAGTTAGTATTGAAACAACAATTGCACTAAAACGGTGGACCAAACTGAGCGTCCATCCATTTCTTATTTTGGGCCAGAAGGTTCTTTTGACGTTCAGTATTGGAGGCCCTGAGGCGGGCCAAACTAATTAGGGGTGAGTTTACTAATCCTGTGTAGACATTGTAATCGATCTGGACTCCCCACTTCATAACTACATATAACTACAAACTGGGGTTGCCACTATATTGACACCATAAAATGGAGAACCTCAGCAAAATGTCAGCCCACTACAGAATGAGCAACCTTGGTGCAACAACAAGAAGAAAAAACGCCGAGCGTTTAAGCCAAAAAGAGACGTCCTATCTTTGAAGAAAAGGTGCCAAAATTAACTCCACAAACACGCAACATTCCAAAAGTAAGGTTCTCGTTCCGAAGCATCACAGGCCCCGACAGCATGCCATCCTTCTTTGAGATCGGCATGTCGGTGGACCGAACCCAATTAGATCTCATCAAGCCACAAACCAGACAGGGTTCCAAAACTGCAACAGGAAGCTCAGGAACCAGGAACTGTACAAAAGGATGCACAAAATCCCAAAAGGTGATGCCTGGCAGAACCCGACAAAATCCAACAAAAATGAAACATATATAATCATCATATGTGTGCATATATATATACACATACACATATTCATAATATATTATCATAAGTACAAATGTCGGCATGTCTTGCATAGCTTTGTTCTTTCTTGCCATTTCTTAGTTTATCGCTTTCCACGAAGTCTCAATCTGTGTGATCTGGTTCCCAGCTGCAGGCTAGCGGCTAGACTCCCGATAGAATTGCAAAGCCCAGGTTCAAGGAGGCACGCAAATTCAGTGACACTCCCCTTCTCTTTATATATCGCGCTGGAAAAAAGAGCCGTCGTTTACGGAAGAGCCGAACAAGCCAGCTGGTGGTGCTTGAAGGTAGAACAATGGCCCCCATGCAGCTCAGACTCGGCACTCCTCATCGCTCCAGGGAAAGTCCAATTCATCTCCTGGCTTGTTGTCCTCCGAAAAAGTCTGGGAACATGCTCCACCAATTTGGTCAACTGCAGTCTCTCATTGGGAACAAGTGCCACGCTACTAGGAACAGGTGCCTTACTAGTAGTAACAAGAAGCTATTAGGAACAAGTGCTCCTCAATTTGGCTTTCTTTGTTTGCCTCGATCGCTTTCAAGAAGACCTGCACACGAGACTTCGACTCCTGACCGGCACAAGCGACGCTACGCAGGGCTCAAACGACACCTCTGCAACTGATGCTCGCCGCACTGGCTGATTGTTGCTATCTAGCAGTGGTAGCATCATGGCCTTGGCACAAATGCACATACCACCCAGTGCATGAGAAACATCAACCATCAACCGCAGTTTAGGAGTTTTGTATTTTCAATTGTGTTTCGGCTCGATTTTGGCGGGACAATGGTTACGATGTAAACCGAATTTGGTTGAGATCCTTTGACAATTTGATTCGCCAAGAATCGAAGGCAGACATTCGTCGTGTCATCCCCGTGGAGCGACCCCGCAAGGCTTCTGGAGGTGGCTCCACATGCTCATCGCTGGAACCACTGAAGCTACTTGATCCCTCGGAGCACGCTTTCGACGGCAAATGAAATGCATCCGTCCATACCGTCAATCCGACAATCCTTAAACATGCTTGTGCCTGTAAGGGCCGTGCGTCGGTGTGTTTTGAAGTCGTCTTTTGTTGGCATCTGCTGAGTTTCCCACGTTTTGGATAGTATTGGATTGAATAGGTTGTTCTTGACAAGGTGGAAGTGCTGTAAGGGTTGCTGGGAAGGTTCGTTTCCCAGAAGTATTGATGTGTTGTGCTACAGTTTTGAAATGTGTTGAACACTTTTGGATGGAGGGTTTTCCCAGTCCTAAAGTTTCGGAGGAATTCATGTTTCGCTGTACTGTTATTGCCAACGAGAAAGATCTAGAACTTCAAAATACCGTGAAACCACACCATATCCGGCAAATCCGATTCCAGTGATTTAAACCATGTCCCGTGGTAACTTCCCAATTTAGAACTTTCAGGTAAGACCAGGTTGGTCTCCGAGAGAATCAAAGTTGCACTATGAAATAATAGTGACTCTTCTTCCTTCCTGCACCTCAGAACCTAGCCTGGCGTCGCGCGTGAACGGATTGTTATTGCCCCCCCAACCCCCCCACCCCAAACTTACACCGCCGCACGAGCCGCAAACAAAAGGACCAAAGCTTAAAAACGGATCTATATGGCCCCTTAGGGGCGCTACAAACATCACTGACAAAGCCAGGGGGACGAAAACGGAACCAGCTCAAGATCAGGTTCCCGCTCTGGCCACAGCCGTCGGGAACATCTCGCGATGGTTGCAGTATCCAAGGCACGCTGGATGAACTGGAGTCCGAGGAATCACTATCCGAGCTTTGCTCTGAGGCTTCCTCCCGCGATTTGATTCAACGCGGCACAACCATTTAGATTCGCATGAAAAAACATCGTCAAAATCAAGTGCTGAATTGTTCTGGCAGCCTTCTTTGTGCAGTGTTTTGCCTTATCATCGCTCTCCTCTTGGGAGTCATTCGAGTCCTCTTCATTGTACTCCACGAACCTTGCACAAAAAGATGCAGGAACAAAGACCGTGTCCCAAACCCCGTTGTGGACCACAGGCGTTTTCAGCCTGCATGTTGCTGTATGCCCACTGCGTTCCTTCGATCAAAACGGCTTCTAGATCTGTACGGTGCACTGCACAGATCTGTGCACTATGATATCACGAAGAGGCGACACAGCCCGACACATGGCAGCCCACCCTTTCTCTGCAGCAAGGTTGCTCTGTCTCCGTGCCCCAGGCAGCACGCTTCCCACCCTTCTTGTCTTTTCTTCCGGAGGAGGGCCGCGAGCGCGGCAGCTTCACTTTCGTGAGGCTCCCTGGCTTGAGAACACATGAGAATGAACTGGAATGACCTTAAAGCTGCTGATTCCAGGCCTGGGCTAAAGCGCTTATGCTTGATCGGCAGTCGGGGCCCTCCTCGAAAAGGAGGAGATCCTCCAAAAAGAGGATTCGACCGCAGGCTGCCACTCTGCAGGCTGCGGTCGAGACTAGTGCCAGGCTCCGGCAACTTCATTCCTCGGCGTGAAAGCTGGCACCCCCAAGATAGACAGAATTCATTTGAATTCATGATCGTGACTCTTTGTGTGACAAGTGGCTGGCAATCGAATTCATAATCTTTCTCAAAGATGGCAGCTTTTGAGCGATCTGTCCGCCGTCGTCCGCTCGATCCACATGCATGAAAGGTAGCCGTCTCGGCTTGGCTTTCTCCACCTGAGTGGCGGCTTCTCAGTATTTAACAACTTCTTTGCAGCGCTGCACAAAGTTATCAAACCTTGGAGTGAGTCTTGAGGAGTTCTCCTCGACCTGTATAATGATTTCCGCAGGACTGGAAAGCTGGGCATTGCAGGGACAAGCGCTAACGGGGACGACGAAAGGTCTGAATCTTGTTTGCCTTGTTTGGGCAAATGTTTTCTTTACCCAGCCGCAATTCCTAAACGAACATCTTTGCAGGAGTAGCTGTGCTTTGCGATGTTCACAGAGCATAGTTGCCTTGCAAGGCAGTTGCCAATTTTCCCATCAAACTCTGAACGTCAAGGAGTGTGAGCGCTTCGATGACTCATACCAACTCCGAGGATTCTGTTTGGCATGCGGAAGGCTTGCTTCCATTCATGTCGCTTGTGAAAGCTCTAATTCATTCTAATTCCAATCAACATTCTGCATGCAAGTGGCAATGGTGCGACGTAGGTCCTCTTCAAAGATGGCAAGCCTCGAGGCGCGTTGCAAACCCTATTAGTACATAGCTATGACAGTCATATCGCTATACCATCGCATGCCCCATGCCCTTGTGTTGCATTTCCTTTCAATTATAGAAGTGTGAGAATGCGGGCATGCCCCAAAATGTTAAATCACGAGTGGTTCATAAACTATAACATCAGCACATTTGCCAGTCAACTTCCTCCATGAGTTTCTACTTGGAATGCATGACCAAAGAGCTATGGCACATCCCGCAGCACAAAGACGGCCCACACCGTATGACTGCTTGAGGAAACAATCATTTCAAAGCAACCGATGAAGTCGAACACAGGAAGGGTGAGTTGGAATAGGACAAAAACACATTTAAATAAGATATAAACGATGGATAAACGATTAGTTCGAGTTCGTTCTGTCGAAGTGGCTACTGGACTTCTGGACCTTTCTCGCGGGGCTCCGAGACTTGGTCTTCCGCATCTCGCCATGGCGGGTCGCCCCGTGGCGAATTGGCGGAGCCCATGCTGCGCGAACGGAAGGCGTTTGTGGCAAGAGCCCCTAGTAGCGTCCTTGTTCCAAGTAGTAAGGCCAGGAGCCCCTAGTAACGTCCTTACACACCAAAATGCAAAACACAAAAAGCATCAGGTGTACACAGAGAGGCTCAACTTGTTCCCACTCCTCTTCCTTCTCGAGTAACCTGATTTCCCTTGCTTCTTGCCTGACAAAGCGGGAAAAGGTTCCCTGTCCCAATCTATTCTGCCTTGTCCATTTGCAGCTTGTCTTTGATCCCCTTTTTCAGCTCAACTATGCAAAACTCTAAAGTGGTGTCGCCGGTGCCTTTGGATATTAAGTTGCTGTGCCCAAGGTTCTGGGATCCCAGGCTCTTCTTTCCAGGCATGTTGTCTGGCTTCAAACTTTGCCCAGGCCACCGCCAAGGTCTTTGAACCCACCTGCGCTCAGCTTGAGTTCGAGCTCGGTTTCCGATCGTCGACTTTTCTATTCACATGGCGTCGCCAGGCCGGTCGCAATTCACATCCACCATTTTCTGCGTCTCGTTGGCCCAGACTTTGTGGGACGTTTCAACACTTGCCCGTTCTCTTGGAGGTGTTTCTTGCGATCCAAATGCCCCCAAGCGCTTTTGCAATCTGCCAGCTCACCACAGCCACTCACGATAGCCGATGCGCAAAGCTGCTGCACGCTGCTTAGGACTCAGGTCACTGAAAGACTTCCCCTAGGCGGTGACTGGAGATGCAAGGGTTTTGGTCCGACAACTGAAACTAACAGTAACTAACATCAAAAGCTAAGGACGCTACTAGGAACAAAGGGCATCGCTACTAGGAGCAAGGACGCTACTAGGAGCTAAGGCGGCCTATGTGACCAAGGCGCAGCCACGGGACTTGGCACTGCTTCATCCCTGACCGGCTGTGTACCAAACGCTTTCGACCCCGTCCTAAACATATTCGAACATTGTCTACGTCTGCCCGCTGCCTGAGAAGGGAAAGAAGGAACGCAAACAATTTGTTGAACCGCTCTAAGGTGAAAGAAGCAAAGCATCTGTTGTTTTGGTTCCTTTCTATTCTCTTGGCATCAACTTCCCTCCTAGCCTCAAGCCCATGCCCCCCCCCCCAGTGTGATTCTACATGCACACACGCCCATCAGTGAACAAACGGAGGCCACTTGGATCCTCTTCTTCATTTTGTGCCTCTTTGCTACTCCTCAATTCCCTCCAACCTATGCATTGAGCCGCTCTGAGCCGCTCCGGCTCTTCACCAAAGACCCACAAATGAACAAGACCGACTCCAGAGCTTTCAAACGCATGATACGACCCTATAAGCTCTTTGAGAGAACGTGGCTTCCAAGGCTTGGACAACGAATAGGTTGGGAAAAAGGCGAACGCAAACGTTTTGTCCCCAAAACCCTTGGAGTGGACGTTGATGTGCCGTTAACCGTTAACATGCAACTCCAGCCGCTATTGCCCAAGAGTGTCGCGCTTTTCAAAAAATATTAAGGTTCACGAATGCTTGAATTCAGTCGTCATGGAACCATGGGGATGACAGTGATGTAGGAGCAAAGGACGCTACTAGGGGCTCCTGGCATCGCTACTAGGAG